GTGATTTTTAAATATTGTATCGATATTAGTCAACATTTGGAAAATCTGTAAAACTCAGAGATCCACTATTTTCTACACAATAAATGATGTTATAAAATTACACACAGGTAAAAAAGCCATTCCAAGTAAGATAAAGCAATGGATTTTAATGTAATCCAGTACAAATGGGATTCCTCATTGCAACTAACCTTTAAGAAACTACCACTTGTCAAATTTTAGTAAAGTATCAAAACAAGAATATCAACAATTATCTGAAAAGACTATTAAAATACTCTTTTCCAAATATGTATGTGTGTGTGTGTGTGTGTGTGTATAATGTATGAGGCTAGGTTTTCTTCATATTCTTAAACCAAAATAACATAATGCAACATATTGTATGTATAAGCAGATAGGAGTTCAGATGTGATATAGTTTCTCATTTGGAAACATTATTTTAAATAAAAGTGTTAACATGTAATGAGTTCATTTAAAAATAACATCTTTAAAATGTGTTTTAATTTCTAATGCAATAAATATAAGCTACATAAACCAATTTTTGAGGGGCCTCAATAGTTTAAAGTGTAAAGTATCGAGAGACCAATGTTTGAGAACTGCAGTCCTAGAAAAACCCAACTTAACAAAACAGACTAAAAAAAAAAAAAAAATCTGAGTAGTACTTTAGAAACTGAATCTCTAATTAAAAGCCGCTCCTAAAGATCATTTCAGGTCCGGGTGGTTTTATTCAATTTTTTTCCCAATAACTCAAGGAAAAAAGTAATTTACATGGAGAAGTACGAAAGTGTCATGAGACACAAGGCAGCCCCTTAGAAAGAGAGCAGACATCTGGACCTACGCCCACCTCAGTTTCTGCTGACTTTCTGTTCTAGATCTGCTACAGATTCATCCTAGATGAAATACCTTATTTCTTAGGTGGTCCAAGTCTCTGTTTCTTGAAAACAATACTCGACTTCTGGAAAGTTATGTACAGATCTGCTGTGGACATTGTGGTCAACTCCTTGTACGCAACCATACAGTCTGGGGAATGGATTCTAGGTTCAAGGTCAGGCTGATTCGTCTAAGCCAATCATGGTGATTGTTTCTCTCATCGGTGACTAGTTTAGAAAATCAGAACATAGGGACAACAATCTTGCATATGACAAATCTATATTAATAAGATGCAAGGAGAAATATGTGGAAGCTTCTGGGAAATTTTCCCACTCAAGAGGTAACAGGAAGTACTTTTTTGGGGGATGATGATATATGAGGTCCAGAAATACAAACACCTAGCTCCAGTCTGCAAAGGAAGGCAGAATACATAAGAGGGTATAATTGAGAAAAGTACAGATGTATAGACTTGGAGTAACATGAATAAACCAATTCTGAAAGCCCAGCCTATCTTTCATTTTGCAGTGAGCCAATTTCCTGTTTCACCAATTTCGAATTGGGTTTTCTCTTTCTTGTAACTGCAAGCATCTCAAATAAATTAATATCTTAGGACTCTATTTACAAAACTGAGATAATCTAAACTGAGTCCAGTTGGCTAATTCTAAAATTTTTTCACTGTAAAAAAATAAATATGGTTTCACATCGCAGTTGTACAAAAGTTCGTTGTACAACTTTTGTACAACAAATACAGATTCGTCTAGCTTATAAATTTGCCCCAAATACAGATTCGTCTAGCTTATAAATTTGCCCCAAATTTATAAGCTAGATGAATCCGTATTTTATCTAAAGAAAGGTACACCTTGCTTTAGACATTCGTGCTACACTGTGAATTCTCATTGGGATGTTTGTGACATACTATATTATTAACTGGTATACAACCGAGAAGTGGTGGGTGATATGTGAGAGCAACCCATTAACAGTAGAGTTGACCCTTGAACAACATGGTGGTTGGAGACACCTCCCCTCCGCCCATGCAGTTGAAAATCCACATATAACTTCTGACTCCCCCAAAACTTCAGTTGTCCCTTCGTTTCCAAGGGGAATTGGTTCCAAGACCCTTGAGGATACCAAAATCCATGGATTCCCATGTCCCCTACATAAAATGATATAGAATGATGCATTCCATACAGTCATCCCTCTGTACCCACAGTTTCCCAACCGGGGATCAAAAATACTATTTTTATCCATAGTTGGTTGAATCCATGGATGTGAAACCCCTGGATACAGAAGGCTGATTGTATATTTATTTTTTAAAATCCACATATAAATGAACTTATGCAGTTCAAACATATTGCTCAAATGTCAACTGTGTTATGAATCTAGGGGCACTACTTGGTATCTGCTTAAATTCAGTGCTGCCCTGGTTATGAGGGTGCGGGAGAGGAAGGAGTTAGATGGGGTAAAAGGAGTCAAATATGTGGTGACAAAGAAATCTAACTATGGGCAGCAAATACACAATGTAATATATATATGACTTACTGTTGAATTGAAACTTACTGTTGAATTGAATTGTACACTTGAAACTTATTGGATTTTGTTAACCAATGTCACCATCATTAAAAAGAAATCAATATGCAAAACAAAAAAAAAATTCAGTGCTGTCCTAGGACACTGACTTTATCTGATAAAGAGAGGTCAAGAGCTTGTGCTTCAAGATGGGACTGGAACCTGGAGTATTCTTATATGGGCCAGTTACTATGCATTCGTACAATATTCTTGGGAGCAAAATGGAACCCAGAACCCTGGACTAAAGAATGACTTTTCCCTTTTGGCACAATTTACTGGGCACTGAAATTGAAAGGTTTCTTAAAAGGTTTACACACAAGACGGATTCCTCTCTAGCCACTTGCTTTTAATGTATATCCTGAGGAACTACAAAGCAATCTAGGGATCTTCTTATACCAATTTACAATTTATACTTCTCCAAGTATACGGTTTAATTATATTTAGTTTCCTTTAATAAGCACATATGAAGAAGGGGGAAAATAAAACTAGTATTTTGTATAGTAAGTGCTGAATGAATACTCAAGAAGCCATTATTTAGTCATGTCCTTACTTCACAAAAGAGCTTTTTACCTGCCCCAGAAGAAAACATACCTCTATGGTGAGATTCACTGGATACCCATCAGCAAAACTCTTCCGGATCCTTTAGGAGGGAAAACACTAAGTAAACTGTATTTTAAGAATAACAAAGAAGTTTAATGGGGCCCAAATTTCATGTCAACCTGCCTTTGAATCTCTGGCTCCAAGATCAATGTGGAGAATTCCTTTGAAGATGGGTTTCATTTAACCAGCATGTTTCCTGTCACCAGAAAAAATACTATCCTTTAATACTAAATACCGCTCCATTTCCAGTTGTGCCACTGTGATCCCTGGCAGGAAGATCACAAGTTGTTTGGGGCTCTCATGCAGATGGCATGTAATTTATATCCTGCTGATTTGGGTTGTAACTAGTAAAATGACTCACCGAAGGTTTAATAAGTGATTTAATCAAGAGCATATCTATTCTCAGTGTAAATCAGCTTTCATATTCTTTAAGTATGATACATGAAATCTGTAGGTTTATACACACCCCAACTAAGCATTTGCTTGATTTTGGTGACCATAATCCAAATGTTCTTTTCTTTTTCTGTACTGTAATTTAGTACAATATAATGAATATGCACTTTTTTAATAATCCTAATTCTACATGTTCCATCTAATATCTCATTAATGACACATTCGGATAAATTCAGAAGATGTAAATGACAACCCTTATACCAAGTGTGAAAAGATATCCTTTTAATACAAAATATGTATATTTCTATTATAAGATGAACTATGTTTATAGGTCAAAGCTTGTTTCAAATGATTATATTTCAGAAACATGTACATGTTTTTAAATACGCTATGAAGAGCTTAATATGGTATATTTTAATTTTTCTTAATTTGACAAAAATGGACAGAAGGCAAAATGAAAAAAAAATTTATTTCCTCAGTGTTTTGTCCACTGTCAATACTGTATTTTTGATGCAATATATTTGCAAAAAAAAAAAAAATCTCAGCTTTTATTTTCCATTTTAAACAACTACAATATTTACAAGCTGTTTAGAATAACAAACAATCAGACACACACACACTCACAGACACACGCAAGTACATATATTCTTATCTCTGGTTTATACTGAATGCTGGTTAGAGGCAATGAATCCTTTCAGAGCCCATGATCAGAAAAGGGAAACCCATTTTCCTTCTTCACACCTACCTTCCTAGAATCATCAGTATTTTTCCTTCCATTTCCTCATGCAGAGCTCATTGCCAGACTTGAACAGGGTTAAGATTATCAGTTTTTACAATTTATTTTTATTTAAACTACAAGCTTTTAAAAAGCACAAGCAGACATGATTTTGCCCTCATTTCTATTATTTTGGTTGTAGAATCAAGCTTCATAATATAAAAAACCTGTTTAACCACAACTACACTAAACTCAAAAGCCATATGGAGTGGCCATCTCATTCTCTACTACTACACTGATTTGAGTTCCAGGTCATCACCCCATCTGTGCAAGTGATACCCGGGAATTCATCCTCATCACAATCTTAGATGATCTTTGTTTTTTCTAGCTTGGCTCCACTGAATCATAAATTGTCAGGTACAGAGCTGAGGGATAAGAAAAAAAGGTATAACCCTATATAATAGGTATAAGTCTTAGAACAGAGTTGTCATATAACCTTGCGATGATAATCAGCTCTGGTTCCCCCAAAGAGTGTTACGTTGCTTCCATAAAATGGCAGATGAGAAAGTTCAGTTCACAAACAGAACTTTTTTTACTTTAATTCAGAAAGAATGTGGCTGATAAGAAATAAACTCTTATCACACATAATTCTTGACAGATGACTGTGATGAGGCGATTCAAAGCAGAAAATATATGTCTGTTTCAAGCAAAATTAATACTCACATATCTTCCAGATCTATTTCTATAATAATTCCTTTCCAATCACTGTTCTTACCTAAACATTTAACAAGTTAAAAATGAGAAGGCCTAGATGTACGTCAGCTAGGTTTTTTTAAATAAGAGAAACAAAGAAAAGAGAGGCTGGTTTTCTAATACTTTAAAAAAGAACACACCCAAAAATCCATTATACATATCCAATGTAGTATTAAAATGTATGCTGCACAAATACATAGTAATATCTATTTTTTCTCTTTCTCCTGATCAATAAAACTCAGTTTCTACATATTACTAAAATATAAAGCTCAAAGTCCACTAATAGGTTCCACGTATCATCTTAGCCTTGATTGACATTATTTTCTCCATTCTTCTTGGAATTAAAAGAAAAGCCTCTAAATAAAAATGGATGTTTTATACATCATCTGAAAAATGTATCTGATCAAAAAAATTATCAACTGGGTCTGTATCCGGGCAAAGTAATTTTATGTTATCACATTACACTACAAAGAAAACTAAGAATGAATACTGAAAACTTATGGGGCGGGGGAAGGGCTTTGTTCATATTCATGAAGAAGTAATAAAAATAATCACAAAAGCAATTAACAACCTGGACTGCAGTTTATAGTTTAGTAACTAATATATATAAATTTCAAGAATTCTTACTCAAAATTACTGTTATCTCTTTCTCAAGTCACATATTTTGGAGGAAGGATTTTCAAAAATTAACTAAAAGAAAAAGATCACTTTAGACTCTGGGCAAATTATAAGTTTAAAAGACCCAGTTCTGGATGAATGACTCAATGTAACAATCCACCAAATGAAGACTTTCTAAGAGAAGCAGAAGGATGCTACTCAAAAACAAAGTAGAATTTACTGAGGCTAAGCAACCCTTGCTTAGATTTGAGGCTGTTTTTTATATTTTGATATGAGGTATAAAAATAAACCAACCTAGAAAAAAATACATCTTTTTAAATGAGATGTAGTTTCCTACATAAAAACTTGTATTTTCATTGCCAGACATTTAGTATACAGAGTAATTTTCAAAATTTCACTCAGGACAGAAACACTATCTGACTACTTCTGTTTCAAGGATTAATAGAAGTATCTCAGATATACTTGAAATATTTTAAAAAATACTTCGAACTTAATGGAAGTTAATCTTCCAGTAATGGAAACCCAAAGAAGGCAGAACACTGATGAAGTTTGTTCACTAATTTTCTGAAAGGAACTAATTTTAAACTAATCTTAAACTAATTTTAAACTAGATTTTAAACTAATCTCCTCTTATCTTAAAAATATACGGCCTCATCAAGTACTCTCAAGCCCCTTACATATCAATGTATTAATTTAGGCTCTTAAAAAAGTTAGAGTTCTTTAGAAAAAAGTGAACATTTAAAGTTTCATCAAGTATTGAAAATGTAAAAAGAGGGCTCACACGAAGTTATAAGCTGGAAGATTAACCAAAAGCTTAATTTTGAGTTATAAAATTATTTTTGCTACTGAATGAGAGGAAACAAAAAGAGAAGCTAAAAATTTATAACTCAAAGGGGGAAAAAATAAAATTAAACAAGAAAAAAATAGATATCAATGAAGCCATATTTAAAAAAAAAATCTAGTGTTTTAATTACATATTTTTACTTTTAAATTATAGAACTCTGAAAGTTTGGGCAAATGTGAACTAAAGACAGTAATGTATATATGCTGGAGTCTTTCTTGAAAGACTAATGAAAAAAGTTAAGCAGGGAATCTACACAAATAGCTCACTATTTTCTGGGGGGGGTGGTGTAGAATAAGACATGTATGATCAATTTAATTAATTGAAGTATGTATATTTCTACATAATAATTTAGGTCAAATTATTCTTAAGACATGAATCTTTCTTCAATTATCACTATTTCCCTTGATGAAATTATTAGCAAAGTATTATTATTTAAAAGACAGTTTTAGTCTTAAAAAATAAGAACAAGTTTCTTTTTAGGGTTTCTCATTCATAAAACTTCACTACAGGACTATCTGATAACAAAGTTCAACTTGTTTTAAGAAAAATGTCCATTAGCTGCTACCGCAAATCAAGACCCAATATATATGTTCTATATACAATCTAGTCTGGCATTTGAAATCTACTTTGGAGTATGTGATGTGTTTTAACAACTGAGGGTAGGGGGTGAGGCTAGGAATAAAAATAAGTCTAACACTTCTGACTGAATTATTTGAAATTGAGGGTTATTTTTTCTGAGTAGGAAAATGAGTTATCTTCCATTTAAGATTGAAAAGGCTCCACTAATCATCTAGGCAATGACCATAAAATGATCATATTTATTTCAGAAAGACAACAAACAGCAGGGAGCATAATTCCTTTGAGAAGATTTTAAATAAATAAATAGATATAGATAATCATATATTCAGCTTCAGAAGGGGAAAAAAAGAGCCCGAACCTTAATGGCATACTACAGATTTGCCAAAAAGAGGCAAATACAGAATATAATGACAGTATCAGGAAAATAGATTTTAATTGGTCAATTTAGAAAGGTACCTTTGTGTAAAGGTTCAGAAAATCATTTGATAAATGTTTTTAAACAGTAAATTTTGCAAAGTGTAAAGTCTGGAAACATCAACACAAGGCACATTGGGTCCTGAATAACCACAAAATTTTAAATTAGAACAAGGAAAAATAAATAGGTTTTGAGTAGAAATGCAGTAAGATGCTGTATATTAACTATTTACTTCCTTTCTTAGTTCTCATTCCTTTTACTGAAGTGTTATGCTATGCTGGAAGATCTCATCACAATTAGTAGAAAAAACAGCTTCTCTCCCCTGTCACCTCATCGAAAAGATACTTTAAACCCAAGCTATCCAATATAATAGCCAGTAGGCATATGTGGCTAATGAATACTTGAAATATGACTAGTGCCACATGTTAAAACGGTAATACTTTGGATATATTAGATTAAATGTATAGTTAAAATTAATTCCACCTGCTTTTCATTTTCCACTCAGAGGTTAGAAAGACGGCTGCTCCTAATGCTCAGAGGATATGTACAGTCTTCTTTGGAGTTTCACACAAAAAGGAAAAGTTTTCTGAAGGATTTAAAAAATGCCAAAAGTTGACAAATTAAATCTAAATTGCAGTTCCCACCTAGCCCAATTATAAATCTGAGTTACATATTTCCCTGAATACATGCACTTAAAAAAAATAAAATTTATGAGACAACATATGAATAAGTCATTTTCACAGTTATAAATATTTCAAATTACAGCTACACACTATAAATTACAGGAAATAAGATTCAAGTAATAGAAAAAGAAGGAAGAAAATAAAAGGCAAAGTTATTACAGAGAGAAATAACAATAAGAACTGCACCATTTAGATAACTGTATTTGAAAAAATTTTACTTGATTAACTGAACTACTTGTGAATGACTTCAAGAGCTAAGAACTCTTAAAATAAAAGGCAACCAATCCTTTCTTTAAATTCTTGGATATTCATCTTCTTCTTTGAAAAGCAAGAGTATTTTCTTCCCGAGACTGGCCCCAGCAGAGCTTCCCCAGGTGGAGGGAAGCAGAGTACCTGGGGCACTCACCATGCTGGAGCTCATCTGCAGTGTGGACACAGGAGCTGGCAGTAGTGTTCACAGGACCGACTCATGACTATTGGTTCCGGGAAATGCCAAGGATGAAACTATGTTTATCTTGAGACTTAGTATTCATTTTAAAGAAAACATCCAATGTACTGCAAGAAGTACAGACTACTAACAGAAAAATGGGCAGCTCAGTTTCTGCTATGTATGTTTATAAGGAAAGGGAAGGGGTAAATCCCAAAGGCAATTTAAATAATGGTATTTTATTTTTATATATATAAATAAATGTTCTGAGAAATCTCAGACTTTAGTGCATTGTTGTAAAAAATTAGTGCAGTTTTTTTCATTAAAGTTTTTAGCGCTCAAGGAATAAGATATATCTATGTCTGTTCATAGTCTCTTTTTTTCACTGTACATTAAACTTTTATACTGCTATATGTCAAACTGAAGGTTTCTATACTGTTCTGTTTTTAAAAGTCAAGGAAATGAATTTTGTGTTCTATGACAAAACATGGCAATTATTTTTGGCAAAGAAATTAGAAAAATATGAGATCATAGTTTAGAAATCAAGAGTTTGCTGATTTAAAGCAAAGGCAATGCATAGGAAAAAAACTTTTTTAAAGGATGTATTTTAACAGTTTTATCCTTCATGCAAAATGTTTTCTTGGCAGCTAACTTAAAAAAATATTTCAGCTTTATTTGGGGACAAAAACAGTGACAGGAGTCAGGGTGAAGGGCAAAGGAGAGGCGCTTAACCAAGCCCACTCTATGTTCAAGTCTCTCCTATAAAGGATCAAAGTGATACCTGCAGGCATCTTCTGCTCTCTCCTCTCTTTTTCCAATGTCTTGGAATTCAGAAGGAAAAGAAATGTAGTTATAAAACACTGGCTCACACTTCAGCCCCAAGTTCTAGTACCCCAGTTTCAATTACAGTCACATATTTGTCATCAATCTGGACCAGAAGTACTGTCTTGTCAATGTGAGATCTAGTACCTGGATCTCTGCTGCAAGGCACCCATCGGTGAATCACCTAATGATTCAAAATAAAACAGGAAATTAGTGGCAGGGACCTTGAATATACTCATAAACTCTTATTCTTCACTTAAGATTAGAGGTAGAAACTGTTAGATAATTAAGCATAAGTACATAAATCAATTTAAAACATGGATACAAGTCAGTCAAACTACAAAAAGTCAGAGCACCAGAGGGTGCCATTAACAGAACTTACATGGCCTTCCATGCCCTCCTGAGGGCTCCAGTCTTTCCAGCTGTTTCTCCCAGCTTTCAACCGAATGCCTTCATCAGGCCACTGCAGCTCTTTTCTTTTTGACAGGTTGATCCCATCCAGAATTTGACTGGGATCCACGATCTATATTGTAAATAAATATAGATCATTTCCAGTTCATTTTTCTCATGAAATTCAAAAATTATATAATCCTAAACAAAATTTATTTCATAGGACTCTGTGTCTCAAGTTCTCCACTGCCTATAATAAAACAAAAAACAATCTTAAGAGCCACCTCCACAATTCCTTTTAGCTTACTGGTAGACCTTACTGCACTGGCCACATGACAATGGCTGAGTAGGAAACAAATATCACCACTGGAATACTGCTGGCTTTCAGTTTTTATGCCAGCAGAAACTTTTTTTGTAACATTCAAAAATGTTCTAGTCTTCAGATATAAGGTATGTTTTCACAAGAGTCCTTCACTCAACAAACAAAAGAAATAAGAGGCACAGTGCAAAAAGAACTCTGGGCTTACTCACTTGGACTCTGTAAATCACCTCCCCCTTTTTGGCATGTGAATTATTGGCAGGACTTAAGGTGTTGCCTGGCTGTGCATCAGTGGCACTACTCTGACCTCCATCTGTCCCAAGAAAGCCAACGAGCGTGTGATGTTTGCAGGCTGGGATGCTTTGGCTGGAGCTGCTGGAAGAAGGCAGGCCGTGCTGCAAACAGGCCATGCCGCTCTGCCCGGAGGGTTCCATTTGGTTCACCATAGAGAGGCGAGACTGGATGGATGATGGTAAGTTTCGAAGTGATATCTGACTGGTAGAAGAGCGCCGACAAGGCACAAATCCCGTGGTGGACATCCGGAGGGATGAATGCCGGCTGCTGTAGCAGTAAGAAGACTGACTGGCTACTGAGGCCCGAGCAGGGGACTGTCTGACCAGGCTTGACTGTACAGAGTGAGAGCTGTGGCTAGTGCCTAGGGAAGAAGAAACAAAAGCACTCATTCTAAGTGGAATGATTCATGATTTTTTTTTTTTGTAGTTTCTAAGACTTTCTCCCTTTAGCAATTACTTGAATTTATTGAATTTAAATTTTATACCTAAAACTTTTAAAGTCATCAAATAGAAATAAATATCTCAGATGTGTTTTCTTGTGTGGTTTTTTAATCTTTTTTTTGATACAGCATTTTAAAATTCAAATTCTGGGGCAAAAGAAAGACAATTTACAGCAAATGTCACAATTTAAGCTTGGTTTGAATCCTAAAATATCTTTCACAGAAGGATTTCAGAATAACAAGACCTCTTTAATAAACTGGAAATTAAATATCTCATACAAATGAGATAGTGAGAAATATTAATTAAGGATCTACTACATGGCGAGCTCTATTTTGCAAAGTATAGTTTGAATGTTCTTATAATCTATTCCAATGACAAGCTATGCCACCTACGGAGAGACAGTAATACCACACTGTAATTTTCCTATAAAGGATTACTAACAAATATGAATTATCAGTGATACTGAATAGCAGATTCTTCTGTGTCCTTTTTCAAATGGCTGGATCCTGACTCAAGTGATGTTAAGATTATAAGAAAATAATTATTATATTGAAAAAATAGCTACATGTACTTTTTATCTAAAAATAAAGAACTAAACAATGTAAGAAACGGAACATTTAAAAAAACACGTTAAAAGTTTTAGGTTTTCACTCAGAAGTTAAAAAATAATCTTAAAAATGTTGATCATACACCTATTTAGAGTCTTAACAATTCCAGTACCACTGGATCCGGGCCCCCGGTGTTTTTTTTTTTTTTTTTTTTTTTTTACACCTACAGCACCTGTTGTGCCTCAGTAGTCTCCCATCCATGTACTAATCAGGCCCGACCCTGCTTAGCTTACGAGATCAGATGAGATCGGGCATGTCCAGGATGTGGACTTTTTTTTTAATTGAAGTAAACTGAAGTAAATGTCTTAAGAATTCATCTGATCCAAGTGAAGCAG